ATACCATGATCTGGAAGAATCAACAGTTGCCAAACAAACTTGGTTAGGCAGGAAGATGTCAGTTCCCTTATGAGGAATGCCAGTTTCCCTCATGGTTGCTATGAAGCTTGTGTAAGGTCCACAAGCTGTCATTTTAAGGCATCTTTTTGTCCTCCCCTTCCATCCTCTCTAATGTGAGTTCCCACAAATATTCCCCTGTTCTGCTATGGTTTTTCTCTAGGCTTTGAATGAAGTAATACTTGGGTGAAGTAAGACTTCCTTGTCCTTGTAGAGTTCTTACCAGGCAAGGATTTCTAAGTGATTGACAAATACAAATGGTTGTAGCATGTTCTTGCCTCCCAAAGGTATAGTGAATGAGGTACACACTGCACTGTGTTGATTGCACCCAGAATCACAGGCCACTTCTTTTTTTATTTTTAATTAAAATGATTATTTAAATGACTAGTGCAGTTGGTACCTAACATTTTCAGCCCACAGGCTGGATGATTGGTGACAGGTTTGTAGACTGGATCTGGCCTGATCTGGTACCTGAGGTTGACCCTGCCAGGGCCTAATCCAGCAGTGAGGAAATGCCCTGGCCAGGGCTGATCCTTTTGTGTGAGGCCAGCTCAGCTGGGGCCAATCCACCTGTGTGGGGCTTTGAAATTTAGCAGCAGGGGAGTGGTGGCAAGGATAATTGTCACTGTTTCCCCCGTTGCCAAATTTCCAGACCTGTGGGAAGGCCAAGTTACATGGTTTCGGGAGTAGAGCACCCTAGACTAATGGATGTACTACTAACCAGGATTAGAGCCCAAAGTTCACTTTCCAGGTCCTGTACAGATGTCTTGTGTGATTTTGAGAAGCCATTTATCCTACCTTATGGGCAAGACCCTCTTTTGTAAACAGCTCGGTACATCTTCGAATCAAATGCACAAAACACCTTTCACCTACGAACTTCATAAATCTACCAGATACAAAAAATCATGGAGTCAATATACACATTGGGTTTATGACACGTTACAACCTGTCTGACATCTGATTCACCAGGTACCTGCCAAAGCTGACCCTAAAACCTTTTTCCCCACCCCCATTCCTCCCCTCCCCCTCCTTTTCTACCCTTTGTCTTCCTAATTTTCAGCTATTTACTTTTTCACAGGCAGCCTCTTGTCTGCCTTTGGAAAACTACTACAGTAGAGTTTCCCTTACCTTTGCCCCCCCCCCTTCCCTTCTCTACCTTTTCTTTTCCTAATTTCCATTATTTCCATTCTCACTGACAGCCTATCACACTTTTAGCTTCTTTCATTCCTTGGAGTCTCAGAACAGCAGAGACTCCATATGCCTGAAGAAGGATGATTGTGTCTGAAAGCTTGCAAAGACCTTTTTTCCAACTACTCAGGTCTAATAAAAGATACCACATCTACCCAAAGAAGCTTGCCTGCCTAATGATTGAGAGGCACTTGAATACCTTAGACCAGTGGTTCTCAAACTTTTCTTTTCGCAGACCACTTGAAAATTGCTGAGGGTATTGGTGGACCACTTAATAAACTTTTTTTTGTTCTACAAATCAAAGCACACAACTCGTATTTTAATATCAGTAATCTTGCCTTTCTAGTGTGATGGATGTATACCTGCTTTTTTGAGGAAAGTTCTCAGAAGCTGGGCGTAATATCTGTCAGCTTTAGCTTTATGTCACCTTTCTGTAGACCACCTAAATGGAGCTTGCGGACCACAGTTTGAGAACCACTGCTCTGGACACTAACAGTTGTGAGGGTCGTATTGTTAGGCAGGTAGATAGCTAAGTTGCCTAATTTTACATGGAGCCAGTGGCAAAGTTGGGAACAGAAACAGTCTCCTGTTCTAATAGTTGTTTCCTCCACGTAATTAAAAAAAAAACAACCCTTTATGAGACTCCTTGACAAATAAAACTAGAAAAATGTTTTATTTTGTAATGGTTTTAGCAAACCCTAATTTTGAAAGGTGGCAGCTTTAATCATATGTTTCCATTATCACCCTCTTCTGTATTGGTAGCTCCCATAAATGTTAATGGAATTGCAAGTATAAATTCTCTGCCTGTTAACTAGAGAAGTGTTAAATTGATTTTGTTTAGGAAGCCTTTCATGGACACCTTTTCAAACTGACTGACTCAAAGGAAAAACTGAAAAATGTCATACCATTTGTTTATGGAACTTGCAATAACTTTAGGGTTATTGCAAAGAATTATATTGGAAACCTGCACAATATATTTAGAGATCCATGAGTAATTTGTTAATTATAGAAAGTGTCTAATTTTAGCATTATAGATTCAAAAACTGAGTTCAATGATCAGTTACAAACAAATTGTTTCGGATTTGAACATGAACTTGAGCTGATAGTGCAGTTCTACATTTTGAAATAGTGAAATAACGTGAACTTGGGTTCAGAAGTATGGAAGAACAAGGAGGAAAATCAGCTTTGTTCAGAGCTTTTAATGAGTCATGGATTTTATCATAAATGAATACTAATATGTTCCACTTGAAGCATATCCTTTTTGATGTTTTGTGTCATTAAAATGGTTTGGGTGGTCTGTCTTAAACTGAGTTCCTCTCCTGATGAAAGAAAGCAATCCTTTTTTGGTGTGTTTTCAAAGATGAAGAATTTATTGCTTTATAACTTCTGGGGGGTACAAAATACTAGTTTGTAGTTCTGTCTGGATAGAATTGACTGCACAGTGAGAGCTTCTGAAAACTGAGACTCCCTGTATAGTCCCATTTTTCCAAGTTATTAATAGAACAAAATACTGAAATGTTTAAATAATCATAGTGAGTAACTGCCACTTCTGAGTCAAAAACAAATGCTACCTACTTGGATGATTTTTTTTTCCTTTTAGGATAGTGAATAGTCAAGATATTTAAGTATAGGTGCCAGTTTATCTTTCATACTACTAACAGGGCACATTCCATAGTATTTATTATTCTACACAACTTTTTATAAGTTAAATAATGATAATACACAAAGTAAGTTAGTTGAAGGAAAAAGTTTCTTCCTCCAACTCCTTGTTGTTATAATTTGAAACATTACTTGTAAGTAAAGTTGGAACAATACTTTCAGATAGAAAAAGATGTATTGAAATTGTACTCGCACTTTTCTTAAGCTGTTTACAGAAAACTCATTAAAGTGTTAGCGGCAGCTAGTTGGCTACAAAGTTACATTTTGGTTAGGAGGTCACAAGAGTGAGTGCATACAGATCAGGGGGTACAAGAGAATAGGTCCTAACCTACAATAAAATATTAATTTCAGGATTTCCCAAGAATGCTATAAAACATACCAAAAAAATAGCCTTGTGTACAGGCATGAAAAAGACAGTGAAACTGAGTATACACAGAAGTGAAACAGACCTGTCTGTCTTGTCTGAACTGAAAGAAATACATACATCTAAACATATTATGAATGCATCTAAACATATTATGAATGCATAAAAGTTCATTGGACTTTAAAATACTTTAATCATCCAGAAGAGTATAATAACCAGTACAGCTTTATTTTAAGAGTCTCGAATGACTTTGCAAGAAGAAAGCCTGGGAAATGGGTTACAGAGAAGCGTGACAGAGGCAGGTCAAGGGGTTGACTAGAAGACTACACAGAAAGTAGAGGTGGGGGGATGAGGGAGGAGTGAAAGGTTGAGCAAAGAATAGAAGGTTAGTAGCTGTTGGGGAATGTGAGAGTAATGTATGTACTCAAAGCCAGGGGTTTTTTTCAGTCATTCAACATTGTTTTGGATTAAAGTACATGGTGAGGGGGCAGGCAGCTGCTGCAGCTCTTGCCCCCTTAGTCATTTGGAGCCACAGCTGCAGACCCCCTGTGCCTGCTCCCCACACCCTTATTTCCCTTTGTCCAAGGCCATGGAGCACATGGTGGTTCCTGCCCCCCACCCAGTGGCAGGGCCAAAGCCACTGCTGCTACAGCCACAATTGTAGCCACCTGGCTGGGCAGGATACCATGACTGAGCTGGAGCTGTGCTGTGACTGAGGCTAAGTGGCAGCAGCAGGGAAGAAGGGGGCAGGCAGTAAGCGGGGAATGCAGAGGCTACAGGAACTGTACAAGGTGCAGGCAGCAGTGGGGACCAGGTACCAGGAGGAGGGGTGGGGGTGTAGAATAGAGTCCACTTCCAGAGGTGGGCCATGGTACCCCCTCTGATACTGTGGAGTACTGATACTCTGATACTGTCCTGCCTCACTGGTGCCACAGCCCTATGCTTGCTTGGCATGCCTTGATGTCCAATTAATAGAAATATAGGAAGCAGCCTTTGGAGACCAACGTAAGCCTTGGATGCTCTACTCCTGGCTGTGGCCTGGCCCCAGTCCCTGCCTGAAGAAGGTATTTTCTCTGCCTCTGCTCCTCGCCCACTGGCTCTAGCCAAGTTGTGGGCACCAGTTATTCCTTGCTGGCAGTAATGGTCTTAATGGCCCTAATCCTAGCCTCTAGCCCTCTGGCCCTAGCCCCCACTAGGTCTCTATCTCTTGCAAGCTTACTTTCTTGTTATCTTCAGCCTACTAAGTCCCTAACCTTTTCAGAGCTACATCCTTGCTGCCTTTAGCCCACTGGATCCCTGACCCTTGTATGGCTTGAGCACTGACTGCCTACCATTCACCCTTGTGGTATCCAACCAATTCTACAGCAACAACCCAAATCTCCAGTTAATATACTGTAAGGCAGAAACAATATACAATTTATCTCCCTATACACTGTTCCCTACAAAGCTCCTTCACTTATGAGACCTGGACCAGACTGTTTCTGCTAGTCCTGGGCTAGGTTTATATAGCCCCTGGCTCCTCCCCTCTCTGGTCACCTGATTTGGCTGTCTGCAAATAGTGCCCAGGAACTGCTCATTCGCTGAATCAACAGTTTGGGCATCTTACTGCCTGTAATTTGCAGGCTAGGCCCTGTAGCCCTTTAACTATGTTGCTTGTCTCTGCTAAACAATACTTGCTGTAATGGCAATTTATGATAGTACCAGGCTACTTGCCCCTGAGGCTTGTTTGCCTGCTGCAACTTTCCCTGCTGCAGGTGGGTGGTAAATTTAAGATAACCCTCCAATAATTAGATTCTATACATGGAAAATCATAATACATTCATAAACTTCCAGTGTACAGAAATTCACTGTAGCGGGGTCAACTTATATTTGATGTTGTTTTGGATTTGGATAGAGACAGTATTAGTGATCAACTTACAAAAAGACAATTTAAAAAAAATGTTTATTTCAAGGACATAGATTTGTGTGGCTCAGAAGGAGCATTTTGTGCTTTGCATAAAACCAGAAATCCTGGCTACATCCTACTATGTAATTAAGGCTTTAGTGAGGATAAGCTTAGAGTCAGTAAATATTGGCTGCTCTGTTGTGCAAGTATGGTATTTATTTCCTTAAGAAATGCCCTAAGTTTTGTTCTTTTTACTTTTTTGTTTGTTGATTGGTTTGTTTATTTTAAATCCAGTTCTAAAATCTGCAAAATAGACGATTTACAAGGTTATTTTAATGATCTGGAGTTGAACTATTTGCCAGTTTAGTAGCATTTCTGTTGTTCTAGTTTAAAATACTAGACAATGGGAAAAAGTGCTTTATCTGTGAAACCAAAACATTTCTCAGTGCAAGATTTCAACCTTTTCATAAGTTCCATGTTGCACTTTTTGATTTATTTATTTATTTTGTAAAGGCAAAAGTTTTGGCTCTAGAGATTTACTTCCAAAGAGGGTGGAGTGAAATTATTTTTACTGCTGCCAGAATGGAACAAAAAACCCCAAACTTGTCAACAGGAAAAATGTGCATTTTTTTTGTTCAGCTCACAATTTTGCTCAAAAAAGTTTTGTGTTGTGGTTGATATTTTGCTTCACTCCTATTTCGGTAACAACATTCTCTTTTTATTTTCAGTGTATGTTATAGACATATTAAACCCCACAGTCTAGTTTGGTAGTATTCTGTTTTTTTTTAACTCTTAAGTCTTTGGCAACATCAGAACTAAAATATATGTTAAGTAGTTGGGGCAATTAACTTGAATTGTTTCAAGATGGAGCTTGACAAGTTCATGGAAGGGATAACTATAATAGGATAGGGGGTTTCTTGGAGCAGTAGTCACCATGGATGAGATGAGGATTCAGGTATTTGGTTATCCAGCCAGCCAGACAGAATGAGGCTGAAACAAAATTTAATCTCTGTGTAGTAGTAATTCCATGCTTTAGGGTTTCTGCTGGTTGCCTTTGGCTTTTGGAAGGGATTTTGGTGGGATTTTTGGCCTTTTTTTGTAAATGCTGGATACTAGCTATGACTAGAGCTGGAAGTTTGGCAGGGGGCTGCTGATGCTCATACAACTGCCTAGAAACCTCTTAAGTTATCTGCCTGGGTCATGCATTCGTGGTCAGACTGATTACCAACTGTCATATCAAGAAATGGCTTTTACTGCAGGTCAGATTAGCAGAATTTGCCTTCTGCTGCAGTAAAAGCCCTCTTTGAGCATACATTACCATATTTACCTGAATCCAAGACAGCCCTGAATTTAAGACACCCATTCAATAATTAGGTTCTATACATAGAAAATTTATAAATTTTCTATACTTTTTCATGTATAGAACCTAATTATTGGAGGGTTTTCATAAAATAATCACCCCTACTGCTGCAGTGGGGAAAGCAGCATTGGGAAGGCAGGCAGCGGGAAGATCAGTGGCAGAGGAGTCAAGTGGCCTGACTCTTGCTCCTTGCTGCCTGTTTCCTCATCACTTGGCCCCGCTTCCCCATTCTCTCCCCTCCCCTGGTGGTTAGCCTGTGCTCAGCACCTACCCCCTTCCTTCCCCCTCCCCAACACTTGACCTCTGCTTACCTCTTATCCTCTGTCTAGAGCATGTGGTTGCTCTGGCCCTGGCCATGCAGCAGTTTTATTGAGTGACTGCTATGCCCCCTGGAGCTGTGCAGGAGCTGCTGCTGGGCTGGGCCAGGGCTGGAGCAACCATGTGCTCAGGTTGAGGCCAGAGTCAAAGCCTTAGCAGCTACCTGCTCACCTTGAATCCAAAATGAGGATCTTTCCCCATCATGTTAAATGGAGGGGAAAAAACCTCGTCTTAGATTTCAGTAAGTGCAGTAACATGCAAATTGGCTGTCATTTTAGTGGCAAGGCATGTTGTGGGATTCATTTTCCCCACAGTATGCTTTGTGGCTCTGGTATGTGAGCGAGAATGATCAGAGTGGATGATCTTGTGGACCCTAGACGAATTGTCAGCTATAGGAGATGGAACTCTGGCTTCGGAGACCTTTTCAAGTCCTGTGTTCCTGTGGAGTGTTTCAGCTGACAGTCTGTGGAATGAAAACATTTTGTAAAGCATGGAAAAGTTACTGGGCAAGGTGCTGGTCAAGATCTTTCCCCTTTGGAAAGGGTTTTATCATTTATTTTTAGTTACAATGTAACTCAAGCAATTTGTTTTAGGAACTCCTGTTTAGTTTAATGCTTTGTCCTCCACCAAGAATAATGCTTTCTACTACTTTGTTGAAAGTCGATGGATTAAATTGAAAATAATTTATTTTCCAAGTTGTTTACAGTGTGCAAATTCTGCTTGTTGAATTTCAGAAGCTCGCAGCAAAACCAGAGGAGTATATGGTGTTTAAAGGGACATGATCAGCTTTAAACAACTTTTTTTGTGTAAAAATTACTTACTGCCATTGTTACAAAAAGACCCTGAGGCTGTGTAGGGTAGATATAACATAATTATCTCTATCCTTTCCATTTGTTTACTTTGTACATTTGACATTTCTTTGTGTGACATCAATTTCTGTTCGTGCAGGCTTTCACAGCAACAGAGGAATAATGTACATTATTGCTACTTTAAACAAATTCTGGTGAGATAATATATGAAACCACTTTAAAAGCATCATTAAAAATGTCTAGATTTCAAGCCAGCCACATCCCTTTAAGACAGGGGTGAGCAATTATTTCAGGCGAAGGGCCACTTACTGAGTTTTGGTAAGCCATCGAGGGCCGCATGACAGGCAGCCAGGGGCAGATAAATATTAATTTTCTAAATTTTTTACATGCTCCACGGGCTGGATGGAATGGCCTGGTGGGCTGCATCTGGCCTGCGGGCCACATTTTGCCCACCCCTGCTTTTAGATATGTTCTCTGCTTTAAGATATGCTCTGCTGAGAGCTCCAAGAAGTTCAAGTGTATTATAGCTCTTTTGGTGCTATAATAACCCCAATAGAGAAATTATAAACCCTGCAGGAGACCTGATGTCTTCCCCTCCCCTGCTTTAAATGTTAGCAACTCTTTCTAATCATTGCTGCTTATTATTATTTGACATGCATGTGTGGGGAAAATCCAGCCCTTGCCCTCTCCAAGTTAGAGGAACTGCCAGTCCCATGCTGTGTTAAAAAGAATTTGGTATTGTAAAAATGATGACTTTAAAACTGCATCTCATCCAGTCAGTGAAGATGTTGTCAAGTCCGGAGATTCAGGGCCTGACTGAGTTCTGATTTAGGACACCTTAGTTCCAAATGATAGAGGAGAGAACAGTGGTTGTACTGACCTAACAATAGCTATAGACCACAGTGTCCTGTTTGTTAAAAATGAACACTGTATTTTAATATTATTTCTATTGTGGTAGCATCTGATCAAGTCTAATTATATTAAGCACTGTACAAACCACAAATGCTCAATATTTAAGTGTAAAAAGCCAAATGGTGGATTTCATTGTGTGATCTCAGCTTATCTAAGACTTCAAGCTTGAAATAGTCTCTCTTGTTTTAAGACTGTCATCCTCGCATCAAGGGACTGCCATTGCTGATGAAAGTGCATGGCAGCTTAGTAATTGCCTAGCTGGGAAAATACCTAGTATGAAGAACTTCTTAACTCTCCTGAGGCACATCTATATGAGACGTTTACTGCACAGTTGACTAATTAATTGCACAGTAAATGTCGCAGCATCTTCACATGCACCACTGTTAGGGCACGTGAAACTAATTAGGGCACGTACATCACTACTAGAGCACAGCAGGCTAGGACTTGTAAACACAAAGCCTACCCTGCTGCAGAGTTTGGGTTTTTTTGTTGTGCTCAGCAGCACACGTTTAGATGCTGAGCCAGTTGGCTGGGGCATGAGGGTACTTCAATGTGAGGTCTGCCTGCTGGCTAGCCCCACAATGAAGCACCCTTGTGCCCCAGCCAGCCCCTCCATAGTGCACTGAGCCAGGTCAGAGCAGCCCCGGGCTGGCAGGCTGACTCCCCAGGCTCCCTGCCAACTGGGGCTGCCACAGCCCAGCTTAGTGTGCTGTAGTCTAGGCACATGTGTAAACTGTGCGCCCGGGAGCAGTAAATTGGAGCAGTAAGCTCTGCAGTTTATTGCTGCATGTTAATGGTTCATGTAGACGCGCCCTGGAAGATACTTTTGCTTCTGTTGTAAGGGTATAGGTTGTAGGGCTGTGCGAAGCTTGGGTCACTGATTGGATTCAGGGGAGATTTGGCCTGATTCGGCACCCGAATCTCCAAATCTGAATCGAATTGGGAGACCCATAATCTTTCTGAATTGAATCAAGTCTCCAATTTGATTAGGAGAGATTTGATGATTCCGCCATAGACACAGCTTTATATGTTTTTTCTACGTACCTCAAGGTACCAGGTTCAGCTCATGAATGCTGAGATGGTGGGGCAGATGGAGCGTCCCACAGGAGCGTGGGAGAGTGCCCTGTGTGCTCCGCGGCTGTGTGCTCAGCGGTGGGCCTCCCCCCCCACCCGCCGCGCTCCCGTGGGATGCTCCATCCACACCACCTTCTCAGCATTCATGAGCCATGCCTGGTATCTTGAGGTACCCAGAAAAAAGATATAAAGCTGTGCCTATGGCCGAATTGCTGATTCTCCAAATCAGAATTGAATCTTCAGATTCGGCCGAATCAAATCAGGACAGCGATCCAAATCCGAGAATTGAATTGCTGTCCCCCAAATCAGGCCGAATCCGAATCGATTACTGCCTGCTTCGCACACCCCTAATAGTTTGTATTTGTATTGATCTAAGGACATAGGTGGACAAGGTTCTGTGGGTAAACCTGATATCTTTTATTAGACCATTAGGTCAAATATTTGAGTTGGTCTAATAAAAGATATCAGGTTTACCCAAAGAACCTTGTCTGCCTTTGCTCCTGGTGGGCTTTATGGCTTCAACAGGGAAAGTCTTTCACAGACCTTTATCTTTTTACTCTCTCTTTTTGTTGTTGCAGCAGGTTAGGCCATACATCCAGCTTACTTTGGACAGTGCCCCATTTACAATTACATTGCTTTTAAGGTGCAAAAAACATTATATTTATCCCTTGTGTTGACTGCTGCCTAGTTTCCCTTTGATAGTCATCTATATGTAGGGATCTCTGTAAATTGTGGAGGAAGTGCCTCCTGCAGTAGCTCCTTTAAATTTTTTTGCTTTGCCGTGTCCCCCCCCACCCCCCCGATTAGCAGAGAGGCCTGCTGACCACACTGTTTGGAAAGGAAAGCAAAAACCACGGTTTTAAATACAGTATGCCGCAGCTTTTGCCTCCCCACTAGTCAGCAGCAAGCGACGGGGCCAGAGATGACGGGATGAGTGGTAGCTGCGTTAATTTCTTGGTTGCTGGTGCCAACATGATGGCTCTGGGAGCCATGGCAAGAAACCCTGTGGGTGGGATCCAGAGTTGGGTTATACAGGAAAGCCCATAATCCAGATCTGGTTTGCCAGTTCATTTGAGTTTAACATGATTCAGTTCTTCATTTTGGACTAAGGTAGGTAACACTTGAATTTCAGCCTTGAACTTGATAATCTTATTTCTCAGGTGGGTAAAATTGGAAATACTTCAGAGTCTGCACATTTTGCTCCCACAGGAGGGAGAAGCCTTTTGTTGCACAACAAACAACCCCTCTGTGGTAATTTATAAAAGGATCTTGTTTGACTCTTTGAGGACCTGGCTGGCCTTATTCTTCAGGTGAATTTATATTTGTGGGATAGTCTTAAAATAAGTTGTAAATAATTTGGAATGGTCTTTTGTATGCATAATGTCATTAACATAAGACAATTTACATGGCCCATGTTATTTTCAGATTTGCTGTAAACTACCTTCGGTAGCTATAATGACACCAGCCCTCAGAGAGGCAGCAACAAAAAGTCATGGTATCCACTTGTCACCTTCTTTGTCCTCTAGAGCTATGGAGTCTGATACAACTTTGTGCATGGAAAATCCCAGAGCAGTGGAAGAGAAGCTAAAAGAGGATTCAATCACACAGATTACTTGCTCAGTCCTAGGGTTTCCCACCACTGAACCCAACTACAATAATGATATCTTCAGTGTAAAGCATTTTGGTTCTCCACAGTCTTCCAAACATTATCAGTCTGTCTTGCTAATGAGCGCAAATTCTGCATTAAATAGCAAAAACGGTAAGCAATGGAAATTGGGAGAACACACGTGCTCCAAGGTGAAAAATCCGTTACATAACGGTGTTGCCACAACATGCAGCCAAATTAGTAATTTAGAAGCAGAAGAACAGGTGAAAGGGGAAACTTTATCGGAGACCATGACCCAGAGTTTGGAAAAAATACAGAGACTGTTGGATTCAAATGTAACTGAATCTGGTAACGCAGAAGAAATGCAGTTTCCAAATGGGAAATGGTTCTGGACGAATGGTTTTTTGGGTAAAGCTTTAGCAATACACACAGAGACAGAAAAAGGGCCTGCAGCGCACCAAGTTCTGCATAATCCTTTGGAAGCAGTTTTGGGCTGCTCTGCCACTAGTAAAGAAGAGGCGTTGAATGCTCGTTTCCTTCAGTGTGTGAGTAAGCAGCAAGTTCTGTTCAGCCGGACCAAAAAAACTCAGAAACGGTTACAAATGCTCCTGGGAAAACATGTTGTCAAACACTGTGACCAGCAGCTGAAATGCTTGGTGAAACTTCAGCTACAAAAAGTGAAGTTTTTTAATGACTCAGCCAAATTGTTGGATGGTATCTCCCTTGGATGCACTGAAAATAAGACAGAAAACAGTACAGCTAACTTGGAGAATGATTCAAGTAACAACACACACAATGGATTTTGTGTTGCACCTGGTGAAGTCCAGGGGGTTGCACTCTCTGCTTCAGGGCTGCTGTCTCGTGTGGAGAAAGATCTGGATTCTGATGCAACTTGCAGCAGCAGCTCAGATGAAGATTGTGATGAACAGACTGTCAAGAAAACGATGGAAGCGTAAGTGTTATATTATTGCTAGACTTTTGTATTTAACAGGTGTTACAAATCTGGGAATTGAAAAGTCCAAACCTGCAAATTCTTTCTCATATGAATAGCCTTTCTGAAATCAGTGGAACTGCTCATGTGAGCAAGGCTTGACAGGGCTCGGCCCTAAGTTGGAACTTACGTAAATTGAACATTGAAGGAAATTGATTGTATTAGAATACAGTTTACACTAGGTTTGTCAAACATGTGGAGCTACCCTGTCAGTCTTGTGGGACTGCTGGAAAGCCACTGGAAGTTGTGGGGGCATGGGCTGCTGCAGAATCTGGGACCCTCAGGCCTCAGTGTATGTGTTGATTAGTGACAGGAGGATGAGTGAGGGCCAATCCAACCACAGTTATCCTTCAGCCACTTTGTCATTATTGCTGTGGCCCTATCACAGCCACCAGCCCTTATCACATACCTTGTGCTGGAGGTGGAGCTGGAGCTAGAGCTGCCATCGTGGTACAGGGTCTACAGTGGTGGTAGCTCCAGCTCTTGCACAGGGCACATGGCAGGGTTGTAGCCACCTCAGTTTGCCCTGGGTGAGAGCCTGAACTGCCATTGCTGCTGCTGCTTCCTCATGCCAAGGGCTGGATCTGGTCCAGATCTGGCCCAGGGCACCCCTGGTTTACAGAGATCCAAATTTTGCACTCTTGTTCCACCTATTTAATATGTTAGGCAGAGTATCTACAACAGTGCCGTCCAAACTTTTGGCCCTACAGGATGCATGTATCATGTGGGCTGGGTCCCACACAGGGCTGGTGTGTGGGGGTGGGCCCCATGCGCCCAGATGTGGCCACATGCTAGGATACAGTCACATGCTGGCCTGGCTTCATATGTTGGTGCAATCTAGTGCATATTATCTAGCCTACAGGGCTCTCCATGCGTTCAGAAATTTGGGGAGCGGCCAATTAATACTGCCACCGTTCCCCTGCTGCCAATTTTTCAGACCCATGGGCAGCTAGAGGTTGAGCACCCCTGATCTGCAGGATTGGTACAGTTCTTAAATACCAGTATATATTTAGAGTAACTTAAGTGACGGTTGTGTAAACAAAAGAATTTTGGCAAATATAAAACAAAGACATTATTAGCTTATTTGATTTAATAACAGTTAATCCATGTTAAAGGCTTGCAATTCACTCCTCTGTGGCAAGAAGAAAACTGTTCTTCTGGTGGGGATTGAAGCCATTTAATTTCTGGAGAGTTCAAAGCTTAAAAGTTTCATAGTATTACAAAGATTACATCAATCCCCTTTTAGGTAGTATATTTTCTTCCTAAGTCTCTGTACGGACATCAAGATTTCTTTCATTGTTACAGATACCTTTTTCCAAGAGGTAGCAGAGTTTACTGCACCTCTCAGTTTCACAATCAGATCTCTCTCGGCTGTTGTAAATTGACAAGAAGTGTGTTGATTTCGTGCTGCTGTGGCTTTGGATGTCTGAGCTACAACAGAGAGAGGCACTGAATTATAAGCAGGGATGAGAAAATGGAGGCAAGATGTTTAGATAACACCATCAGTCTGTCACTTTGCAGCATGCAGGGTGCCAGGGACAAAGTAGAGGAGAATATTGGAAACTTCTGCCAGTCAGGCAAGCTCTAGAGAGAGGGAGACGGAAAGCTCCCTTTTCTTATTCTGTGGTTAAATGGAGCTGAGCAGGTGTTCAAATTTATTAGGTACTTGCTAGTCAGAGACTGACACAAAAGGGGAGAGTCTCAAAGCTTCCACGAAAAATCCAGGGACTGCAGGTTGGGCAGAATCCAGAGATGCATAAGGTTTGGACCCGTTTTCTCATACAGGGCTATGCTTCAACATTTTTGATGGGGTTCCTGATCTTCTCTAAGAACCTCTGATTAGTCAGTTTGCCCTCTAATGAGGAGGCGCATGGTATTTTTTTTAAATTTCTATTGTTGGTGTTAATAAATGTATTTTAAAATTTTCTGTCTCTTGCTCTGATCTTTGAAAAATCACAACATTGAGTAGAAATTGTCATTTGCATTCGCACTGGATTTTAGCAGCTCCTGAAAAATGCTGGATCCACCTTATTACTCATTTATTAGCTTGAATTGTGAAAACTTTAAAGTAGTGTAGTAGTTCCATTCTGTTATGGCATCATGCTGCCATTTTTGTCTGCTATTGTTGAGTTTGGAAAGCAGATGGAAGAGAAAAAATAAAAAAGGAAAAGAGAGTTTGAGTTTTCTTTCTTCTATTATGAGAATGCTATATCCTACATTAAAAACCAAGTCAAAATGCATTGAGTTGCCAGCTAATTTTTTTTTTATCACTGTTGAGCCTATATATAAATGTTATTCTCCCTTTGAAATAATTTTGAATAGAAAAGGAGCATCACCAAATGTTCTCCAGAATACCAGAGTCAACATACTTCTTTCTCAAAGCTGATCTTCCTGAATGTTTGAGTAATGATGCTGCCTCTGAGATTTTTGTCATGATTATATGAATTTACTAGGAAAAACTGATTATACATTAACTCAGATTCTCAAAGGGGAGGGAATAATCTACAACTTAGGAGCAGGATTCTGAATATTTTTTGTCCTTGTAGAAAGTATTTCAGTTTCTAATCCTTTCGGTCCATCTTTCACATCAATCTTCTTTAATTTGTTGAAGTTACCTGTCTGTTTTTAAAGTTTGTCTAGTTCATATTGTTTACAGAAGTCACACTTGAGGAGCACACCCTGAGTCCTCCTCACCACATCACTAATATAAGCACAGCAACAATCAGCTTTCAGCGAACACCATCTGACAGTCCAGCTACTATTAGTTTAAGTATCATTTAACGTGAGCTGGAGATTACTGAGACCCCCTTAAGGTGCGATTACACTTACACTTTACACTTAGGATGTGATTAACCAGGTAACAGTACCTACCTTAAGTTGTAGGTACAGTTTGTAGCTACACCTTTAACCAATTAATGGCTTTATAAAATAAGCAATAAACTACAAAGTTATTCCCCCCAAAATGTGTAAAACTTTGTTCTGTGTTGAAAACATCAATCTGTGTTGAATTGAATATGTGGCCAAATGCTCCCCTGTGGCTGGGAGCCCCTCAGTTTGATGAGGCGCAAGAGAGCACTACAAGCTGCCAGCCTGTGTTGTTAGCTGTGGGGTTTGCTGTGGATAAAATGCTGTCCCCAGTGTGAGCCTCCTCGGTGTGGGGCTCTCAGTGGGAGCAGCAGGAAAAACACTGCTGCTGCAAGCCTTGTGAAGTGTGGGCCTTGCAGTGGCAGCAGTGTTCCCTGTGGTGCACCTGCTCTGAGCTATGCAGCCCACCTTCGCTGCAGGGCTTGGACTGGCAGAAGTGGGAAGAGTGAGCGAACACTGCCCCAGCTGAAGCCCCTCACCTCTGGAGGCTTGCAGCAGTGGCAGTGTTCCCCTGCGTTGCCACGATTGCAAGTCCTGCAGCCCATGTCACTGTGGGACTCGCAGCAGTGCAGGAGAAGTCTGCCACCACTGAGTCCCACATCTCGGGAGGCTCACAGCAGTGGTAGCGTTCTTCCCACTGCCAGTTCTGTGAGCCCCAAGGCCATGTGGGCTGCGGGGCTTACAGCGAGGACAGGCTTCCCCTGCATGGCAGGAGATGCACTTGTGGGATCATGCATTGGATCCCATCACGCCTTGTCACCAGTGCAGGGGAAGCCTGGGATCACAATCCCTGGCTTTCCCTGCACTGGCTCCCACAGCTGCGAGCCCTGCAGTTTATGCAACTCAGTGGGGCTTGCAGTGTTCCCTGCACTGCCCCATCTGCATGTGAACGCTGCACCCGCTGCAGGCATTGTTGGCAGCAGGACTCACGGTGGGGGCAGCCTGGGTTTGTAATCCTAGGCTGCCCCAGTACCGGCAATAAGGCGTGATGGGATCTAATGCACAATCCCACAATTGCATCTCCTGCCATGCTCAAAGTGATTCTGTGTTTTTTTACGAAAGGGTCTTCAAAGGGATTTGAACTCAAATTAATCAACAGAGCAAGTCTCTGCTTTGGGTGCCATGTGGCCTAGCGTACATTTTTCTTACATTAGCTTACATTTTCAAGTTCTAACTTACATTTTTATTCATGTTTTGTGTGTGATGAGAGTGTGATAAGGAATGTAAAGTTCTTATTGTTTAAAAATCTATTTGATACTGGAATGATGTTATGTGGAGGAAACTGAAAGGAAGTATAAAACATTAACATCTTTTTTTGGTGGATTAGGTCAATGTATAGGGTCAAGAGATAGTTAATTGAGATTCTCTGATTACTCCACCAGTAGTACTTCATGAACTTTATTGGTGGAGGGGCACAAAGTCTCTTATGGTAGGATTTGCTGGACAGTTACGTAGGTGTCCATATGCTCATTCAAGGAAATTTTGCTTTGCTTTGCTGTGCTTACTTGGTCCAGTATTTCCTTTGGACATCTAGTCCTTTGTTCCTTCTTTAGTGCTCTTGTAAAAAATATATTTCCCATAAATTTAGTTTTTACAACATTTATCATGATAAGGTTTCCATTTTGGCATTTTTCACTTTTCCCTTCTGAGTTTTGGAAGATGCTCTTTTACAAATTGCTATGTTCCAGTGGTGCTAAGCCTGACGAAGAAGCAGATGTATCATGATTTCAGTTTCTGTAAATGGAAAACTGCTTTTCTAAGGTTCACCATGCAGACCTACTGAAGTTAGGCTTTCTCTTAAGGATTCTGTTTGGAAAAAGAGGAGATGGTAAAATGGTTGTAGATATTTCACACTTTACTATCAAAGGGAAAAACCATGTTCTGTTTAATGTCTCAACATACTCTGTTTGTCCTAGACTTTTTATTTTTCACATTTTACTTAGGTTTGCATTGGCTTATTAAGTAACATTTGTGCAGGTCACAAACAGAGGGCATTTGCAAGCACATTGTCCAGTGTTGCAGCAAAAGGAATACCTTGTTTGGTTTTAAGCCTTGTAAGAAAGAGAAAAAAAATACTCTTTCACAGTTTTTTGCTGGATTAGGTCGCGATTTTTCCAAAATATGCAGTACCACACACCTGGTATGAGACTTGGGGTTTATTACAAAAAAGTCTGCCAAGACTGGATGATTTTCTTATTTTTATTTGTCAACATTTTTTCATTTGTCTTAAGGCTAAATCTTTTTTTTTTTTTCCAAAACCTGAAATGTATTAGTAGTTTTATAGTTGCAGGAAGCAGTCTGAAAGATTTAAATGTAAGCAAGAATATTGACATGTTGTAGCCTGCAAGGAAATCTGAGACTCAGGAATGTCAAAGCCTTCTAGTTAGATAACTGTTGAGTATATATTAAATAAAAACTTGGCATTAGCCTCATGAATGACTGACTATTTAATACATAGTCAACATAGCCTGGCTGAATTTGGTAATTGTACACATGTGCATACATGATAACCTCACATGCCTAATTAAGTGGAACATTGAAACTGGGTTTATTCCTGAGGTGAATTGCTGATTAATCATCCCACTGGCTGTTTTCCCCCCAAGGATATATAGGTTAGCTATATTAATAATAGGCTTTTTTGTGGTGCTCCTCTTTATAATTTCATACCTCATGGAGATGTTACAGTGATAAATCACTATTTGTAAGGTGGCCAATTATAATCTTTTTGCAGATTTCATTAACTTTAATGGAAGATATTTCAATGAATGATTCGGAGCATTTTTGAAAATAGGGCCCAGTTCATGAAAGCATTAATCATACGTCTAATTTTAAGCATGTGAGAGAGCATGGATTTTAAATTGGTATACATAAGTGCTTTCCTATATAAAGATAATTTCCTGATACAAAGCCTTATTTAAGCCTAATTCATATGGATTTAGGAACCAAACTTTACATGCAAATAATTTTAAGTATGTAGGTCAATAAATTGTCAATAACTTTAAGGTGTTATTTGTAACATAAGCAATTACATTTGTAAAAAGGTGAGTTACGCATTCCTCCTTAATTTTCTCTTCATCTTTGTTCCTTAGGAACAAAGTTTTATCTTCTCCAAATGTTTTATCAGTGTCTGGATTCCACTTCAGCCAGACTGTTAATGTCCACATTTCTATGCAGAACCTCATTTTCATCAAGAAGTAAGTAGGCTTCAGACCTTAGGTATTGAGGTCTTTGGTTTTTTATTTGGATTGATGCAACTATTTAGGAAGCCAGTAAAACTTTTTACAGCACCTGGGATTAAAAATAATGGGAATGCCACTTCCACTTAGCACCTGTTGACAATATTCAATTATGTAATGTGTCATGCTTCAGTTGGGGTTTCAGTATCTGAAAGTGTTAGGATCAGCCTAGTAGGGCTAATGCAGCATTGATGGCCTTCCATCAGAGGGTTACTCTATAAGGTGTCCATAGAGTTGCAATGTGGTATTGTACTGCTCTTAATTACATGGCTGTACCCTCTCAATTTCAGTTCTAGATATGATGCTTATTTTTCTGTTATTTTTTTTTACTACAGCTACTCAGCTCATGTTCTTGGGGTGTTTATTGCTAGTTAACTTATTGAAGATATTGTAAAAGCAGAAATTGATGGTACTTATCAGTATGTTCTGAGAGTATGTTGTTTTTGAATATTGCCAAAAGGCTTATTTAGAGGGATGCATTTTGTATCATTTGTAGCAAATTTAATACTTAACTTTATTTCCACAGGTTATCTCAGAGCCATTAATGTTCAGTCTGACTCTGCAATTTAATTTTTTACCATGCAGAATTTTAAAGAGTTATCTAAGCAGATCTGGTATCCAGAATTAGAGATGGCGACAGCCCCACTGGGACATTTTACATCAGTTACCCTAATGGTAGAGGACTCTTCTGGAGTGTGGAGGTCTGCTAATTTGATTGCATTTTTATTGAGCCCTAAATCACATTATGAAGTATTGAAACCTCTTAAAGAGAGCTCGATTATATTAAGGAATTCTGGAGATGGCAAATATTATCTTGACCCATGCAGTAGGTGAGACTGTGTTGTGATAATGTGTTGTGCCATAGTCTGTGGCGGTAGTTACACATTACCTTTCAAACATGTTAAATGTGCTTAGGATGGGAGCATCCACATGTCAAGGCAGGTAGAGACAAGCTAAGTACCTTCTCAGCTTCTTGGAGATAATCCTTTTCAGGCAACGATTATCTGCAGCTGGTATTAGGCAGCTTGTGTAGCAGTAACCTCAGTCTGCTCCACAAGGTTAGAACCAGCCATTTGCATTCTTCTAGTATCCTAGGAGGCACTTCTCCCCGTGTGGCCTAGCTATAATCTGGAGCTCTACTGCCCTGGACTGACAGGTGGGCAGCAGTGGGGAAGTTGGGAAGGGAGTAGGGGAAAGGGTGAAGGGGGAAAAGGGAGAGAGGGGTGTTGGTGAACACAGCGGCAGGGGCAGGAGGGCCTGGCAGACCCCCATGGATTGAGCCCACACTGCCCCCATGGCTGTCCAGTAGCTTGCCCCATGGGAAGCTGAGGGCAGGAATGGGCAAGGAGAAGCTAGGAAGCCATGGCTGGGCCCTGTAGCTCCCTGTGCATCCGGACTGAGTTGGTATTGCCCAGCAGCTCCTCTCCAGCCTGTCTGTGTCCCCTTCTCTCCTTCCCCCACCGGGAGCTGCTGGGTAGCTATGGAACTCAATCTGGGATGGCAGGGACCCAATCTGGGCTGGTAGGGTCCTGTCTAGCCTGTTGGGGTTGATAGAGGCCTGATCCAAGGTAGTGGGGAGCTGCTACAGGCTGTCAGGGGTCAATTCTAGAACCTGTACTACCAGAAGAGAACTGGTGAGCCAGGCAGACATGGAGCAGATTTGGTAGCTTCTAGGCATGCCTGTGCTCACCAGACCTTTAACTGTAGGTCTAAGCTATGTACTTAGGTTATTAACCCTTAAAGTGTGACTGTTCACAGCACATGATACCTTTTGACACAGCCTAATATTCCTTAGAGTTAGCATGTACTAATGTTATAACATTTAAATGCTTTATAATATAATGTATGTTATAACATTTAAATACATCCTATGAGACTTTTTAGATAAAGTCTCAAGTAATATGCTGTTCTCTGGTTTGGCAGTCTTGTCTGTTTAGGTGTGTGGCATAGTACTTCTATTTTCATTTATTTTTCTCTTCAATACCATAGTTTTCTTTGCTTGCAGCAAGGATTCTCAACCTCTTGCCCATGGAGCTATGATATCCAGTCAGCTGGGCTCCCCACGTGTCATGAAATATGGCAGCAGGAAGTGGAGGAAGTTCCATGGGGTGGATCCTGCCTCGGCTGGGCCATTGCCCATGCAGTAGGATCAGGGCCAGGCCTGTCTTCCATATGTCCAGATCAGGTGGACTTCCATTCCCCCTGCCCCCACACCTCTGGGTCAGGACTATAACTCTCTGCCTCCTTTCCCCCATCCCCGCCATGCGTCCAAATCAAAATGCGCCCCCTACCCCAGGTGGAGGGATCAGGTAGGGCTTTGAAGTTCCCTGCAGCTGGATTGTAGGGGTGTGCAAAACAGGCTATTTTGGATTTGGATTCGGCCCAAATTGGGGATAGTGATCCGATTTGTCGAAGTACTTCTGGTCCACTTCCAGGTCTGCTGCTGAGCATGCTCAGGGGGCGTCCCCCTAGCTCAGTGATTGAGCATGCTCAGGGGGAGCCCCTGGGTGTCCCCGCAGACCCAGGAGGCACCAGTGCCTGAGCCAGGGAAGTTGTGGGGGGCCTCCCAAGTGCACTTCCTGGCGGACCCAGAAGTGGACCAGAAGTGCTTCTGGTCCACTTCTGGGTCTGCTGCTGAGCGCGCTGGGGAGCCCCCTGCACTCCTGTGGGAGGCTCCATCCTCCCTACCATCTCAGCATTCACGAGCTGCCTGGTACCTTGAGGTACGTAGAAAAAATGTTTAAAGCTGTGTCTATGTCTGAATCATCAAATCTTTCTGAAATGGTTTGGAGGATTCCAGTTCAATTCAGGGAGATTAAAGGGTCTCCTGATTCAATTCGGAGATTCAGCTGCCAAATTGGGCTGAATTTCTGCTGAATCGGATCAGAGACCAAAGCTTCGTGCAGCTGTACTGGATTGGGTTCACTGACTGGATCTGGCACCACTGGCATATGGGAATGACAGTTGCTTTTGTCCCTTCAAAAATGACATATGGAGAGTTCATTTTGTTCTTTATCTCAATATTCCAGAAGTTTTGTATGACTAAACCTGAAAATGTATTTAATTTCTGCCACAGTTGATTTGAATGTTGTTATAGATCCACCTTAGACCTCATGGCTAAGCTACAACACTTAGCCTGCTGAAGTCATTCAAGCTGGAAAGAGCTTATTATGTATTGTGTGTAAGTATAAGCATATGTGGTTGGATGTAGTTCTGAAACCATCAACTGGCAACAATACGTCAGAGAGTTGTGATAAGCACTTGCTGATGTCTATAGATTATATGGCACACTGTAACCCATCTGTTCTGAAGTGATATAATGTTGTGCAGAAGAATGATCTGGCAGAATTCTCTATTAAACTCCAGGGAAGGTAGTAGAAATAACTGATGACAGTTCTTTGCAGGAATAATAGTATATTTTTCAATTCTTTGCATCTTACTGAAATGATTTTTTTCACCGAACAGTTTGGTTTGATGGTGGTTATTATAAGCTGGTGGTCCTCAATCGTAGCCTCATGGCATTCCTCCATAACTTTTCTGAATTTAGCAGCACACCAGGGTGCTAGTTGAGATTTACTGAGCTGGAATCTAAATTCAGAAAGGTTATGGAGAGCTGCCCTGTGACTCATAAGGTTGAGAAACACTGATCTAGCTGGTATCAGGAGAGGGCAGCAGGGGCAGGACCTCACCTTGCCATGACCTGCTCTTTCCAGTGCCTGCCCCTCTCCCTGCCACCAGTCCATATCTGAGGGGACAAAGTTGGTCCCTATGACTGAGTCTGTTCCCCTAGGGTCATGCATGCTGGTGACTGGAGCCATCTGCCTCTATGGCCTCTCCTGCAGCCCTGGAAGCATGGGAGAAGCCATGGGGTGAGCTGGGCTGAAAAACACTGCTCCATCCATGTGTCTGCCCACCCTTCCACCGCAGTGTGCTCTGTTCAAAGTGTGAGGCCAGGCAGTGTAGGTGTGTTGGTGGTGCTGGGGGCAGCAGCAGTCCCTAGAGCACAGGGCACTAGTCTTCAAAATGCTGCAACAGGTGCAGTGAGCTGGATTGGAGGAGGAGAGTGCTTTACTCCTCACATACGAGCTTTGTGGTGCAGCACCCCCCCTAGGGATGGCATGGCATCCCAGTTGAGAATCAGTGTCATAAGGCAACATCCTGTTATCCTGTTTTCTACAATTGTTTTTCTCTGATGATTCCCAGGAGATTTGAGCAAAGGCTTTTATTGAGCTGTTAAAATAAATGATTTTGATCTCATGATATCAGAAAAAGATACTTTTTAGTTTGCGTTTTCATGTTTTTGAGCATAAATTATTTTTTAGAATCTATAGAAGAGCATGAGTGCACAAAACTTTGTAGTCACTGGGATTTTTTCCTGTTAAATAGATTTTACAGTTAATTGGTCCAGGGGAATTAATGCTTCAGCAGCGGACAAAGTTAGTTAATTCTGAAAATAAACATTACGTAGGCGTGCTAGAAAACTTAGTCCTTAAGAAAGCATTTACAGGTCATTTCATATATTGGACATGTTTGCTCAGCTGTTGTAAGTGTCAGTTTTTGTTGTAGTGAACATTTCTATCTCATAAGTAAAATCAACTGCTGATTTAATCTAAAATACATGCATTATGCAATGTAATAGTTGTGTTTCTGCATATGCATTAATTTATACTGGCTTTAGTTCTCATGAGATGTCTGACTTACTGGGTATGCTTACATATTCATTAATGTGCTGTAGTTATTGTGCATTTAGTTTAGTATTTCCTTAATAAAGTACTAACTTAATGTGCAGTAACTATATTTATTGTGCAGTAGTGCTAGTGCATGGTCTTTTTGTGACAGTTACAGCACAGTAGCCTAATAATAGTATGCAGTAGCTTATTAGCACGATTTTTGACCGGTACGCTATTGTGCAGTGTTGTTAGGCTACCATGCAGTAAGCGTCTCATGTAGACTTGCCC